CAGCCCTTTACGAACGGGCTCCCGGAGGGCATAACATCTGCCTTTCGGGGAAGTCCAGCTGCCTCTTTAGGGAGGGTTCTCCCTGCCATTCTGTTCGACGGGCGGAAAGGAGCAGAAACGGAGCCACGGAGAAGCGGACCGACACGAGTTGTTGCTTGAAGGTCAGGCACGGACACTACCTTCCGAGGCCGGCTTAGTGCAGGCTGCATATACGTACGCTTGGCGAAGTCAAAGGCGCTCCTTTCCGACGCTCGGAGACGAGCCCAGCACTCGGGGAAAAGCAGCCGACGTCAGTCGCCCGTTCTCGGCGCGCGAGGAAGAGTAGACCGCGGCTCAAGGCTGGAAGCGGCAGCCGGGGAGAACCCGGTTTCTCGGGCAGCGAGTGCATCCTCGGCGGAGCGCTTCAGTGCGAATGCCGCAACCGAGTCGTGAGTTCCAAATCGTGCCTTTGCGAAGCTGAGGAGGGGTGAATTCAGCGTGCAGCTGTCATAGTGCCACTGAGGTTTTGATTCGCAGAGCAGGAAGGATCCCTCCAGTCCTTTACGAACGAGCTCCCGGAGGGCACAATATCTGCCTCTCGGGGAAGTCCAGCTGCCTCTTTAGGGAGGGTTCTCCCTGCCATTCTGTTCGACGGGCGGAAAGGAGCAGAAACGGAGCCACGGAGAAGCGGACCTGCCCGAGTCTTGGCTCGAAGGTAAAAGACGGACACTACCTTCCGAGGCCGGCTTAGTGCAGGCTGCATATACGTACGCTTGGCGAAGTCAAAGGCGCTCCTTTCCGACGCTCGGAGACGAGCCCAGCACTCGGGGAAAAGCAGCCGACGTCAGTCGCCCCTTCTCGGCGCGCGAGGAAGAGTAGACCGCGGCTCAAAGCTGGAAGCGGCAGCCGGGGAGAACCCAGTTTCTCGGGCAGCGAGTGCATCCTCGACAGAGCGCTTCAGTGCGAATGCCGCAACCGAGTCGTGAGTGCCTAATCGTGCCGTTGCGAAGCTGAGTAGGGGTGAATTCAGCGTGCCGCTGTCATAGTGTCCCGGAGCTTTTGATCCGCAGAGCAGGAAGGATCCATCCAGTCCTTTACGAACGAGCTCCCGGAGGGCGCAATATCTGCCTCTCGGGGAAGTCCAGCTGCCTCTTTAGGGAGGGTTCTCCCTGCCATTCTGTTCGACGGGCGGAAAGGAGCAGAAACGGAGCCACGGAGAAGCGGACCGACACGAGTTGTTGCTTGAAGGTCAGGCACGGACACTACCTTCCGAGGCCGGCTTAGTGCATTATGCATATACGTACGCTTGGCGAAGTCAAAGGCGCTCCTTTCGGACGCTCGGAGACGAGCCCAGCACTCGGGGAAAAGCAGCCGACGTCAGTCGCCCGTTCATGGCGAGCGAGGAAGAGTAAACCGCGGCTCAAGGCTGGAAGCGGCAGCCGGGGAGAACCCGGTTTCTCGGGCAGCAAGTGCATCCTCGGCGGAGCGCTTCAGTGCGAATGCCGCATCCGCGTCGTGAGAGCGAATTCGTGCCGTTCCGACGCCGAGGAGGGGTGAATTCAGCGTGCCGCTGTCATAGTGTCCCGGAACTTTTGATCCGCAGAGCAGGAAGGATCCCTTCAGCCCTTTACGAACGGGCTCCCGGAGGGCACAACATCTGCCTCTCGGGGAAATCCAACTGACTCTTTAGGGAGGGTTCTCGCTGCCTCTCTGTTCGACGGGCGGAAAGGAGCAGAAACGGAGCCACGGAGAAGCGGACCGACACGAGTTGTTGCTTGAAGGTAAGGCACGGACACTACCTTCCGAAGCCGGTGTGGTGCATTATGCATATACGTACGCTTGGCGAAGTCAAAGGCGCTCCTTTCCGACGCTCGGAGACGAGCCCAGCACTCGGGGAAAAGCAGCCGACGTCAGTCGCCCGTTCTCGACGCGCGAGGAAGAGTAGACCGCGGCTGAAAGCTCTAACGGGCCGCCGGGGAGAACCCGGTTTCTCGGGTAGCGAGTGCATCCTCGGCGGAGCGCTTCAGTGCGAATGCCGCAACCGAGTCGTGAGTGCCAAATCGTGCCGTTGCGAAGCTGAGGAGTCGTGAATTCAGCGTGCCGTTGTCATAGTGTCCCGGAGCTTTTGATCCGCAGAGCAGGAAGGATCCCTCCAGCCCTTTTCTAACGGGCTCCCGGAGGGCACAACATCTGCCTTTCGGGGAAGTCCAGCTGCCTCTTTAGGGAGGGTTCTCCCTGCCATTCTGTTCGACGGGCGGAAAGGAGCAGAAACGGAGCCACGGAGAAGCGGACCGACCCGAGTCTTGGCTCGAAGGTAAGGCACGGACACTGCCGTCCGAGGACGCCGTATAGTTAATCTTTCTCCAACCTTTACTGTTCTTGCACTTTACAAATCCAGGGCGTCTTATTGCACTGTTTTTCTTTTCAAGGAGTACAAACCCTCCTGGGCCTGTCCAGCTCCCCCTTTCTGCTCCTCCTCTGGAGATCTCTCGGTCCTACAACCCTGCTCTTTGCTTCCCTCCCTTAAGGCTTCCCATGCTATCACTGGGATATCCAGTTTCCCAGGTCTCTGCAGATGAAGTTTGGTCGCTTGCAGCTTCTCTTCTCCTGCCTTGGCACAGACAAGATGAACTGCTAAATGGTCACCATCTTCCAACTATCCTGGATTGCTATTATTATTTGAAGTTCTCTTGCTCACAGCACTCTCAGGCTCCCCAGCAGTATCTGAAGTGGAATTTGCTTGGGAACTTCCTTTCCCTTGCTCCCCCATACTCAATTTCATTGATTCCTTATTGTTCCCAAAGTCCACACCTTATAGGTAGAATGTTAGTGTGAGCACATGCATATTCCTCTTTAAAGCCCAGTCCACAACGCCAACCGAAACGCCACTTTCCTCTATTCCACTGTAATCCCTGGACACTACTACAGGTCAAGCCTCTGATAGCAAATACAGGGTTAAACAAACAGCCAATTAGACTCGATTCCCACATTCACACCACTCACACCTTGCATCCAATAGTCAGCATTCACACCACACATAACAGCCTTATGAAGTCTCCCTTGCTGGGTAATGGACTCTGCCTACTTCCCCATGGCACGGGAACACTGAATTCCCTGGGCAAGAGCTATAACCAATGTCCCAGCAACAACAGCACTTGTATTGTATGTGGAATTCCACAGGCAATCATTTTATAACAGAAACACTTAACAATCACAAAGGTTATGACAATGAAAAACCAGTTTGGACGTTTACTTGTCACATGATCCTAGCAGGCCCCTTCCTGGCAGTTAACTCCAACTGCCTCCAGATACATTTTTGTAGTGATGATTTTTCCAAAGCATTTCAGAGCTTCCACTCCCGAGCACATTATAGCCTCACTCTCAGGGTGCCTTGCAAGATTTTACCTGTGAGGTTTTCGGAATTCTCGAGATACCTCCCCAAGTGGAACCTTGCTCCCGAGGGTTGTGCACCCTGTTAAAGGAACTGCAGGACAGCAAGATGGGGATGTGTGAGCACAAGACTGTGCGAATGTGCTGGGGAAAGGAAGCAAGAAAGGACTCCGAGGGTAGCAGCCAGGGTTACAGCTGGGACAGCGAGGAAGTGAGCAGAGCTCAGTGTGCTCTGCTGCCCTATTGGCTCTCTGTGACACAGCACATCCAGGACTGCGTTTCTCCCTCTGGGCCACGGGAGTCACAAGATGACCTTGCTCTGCTGCTCTGCACGCATGGATTGATGTAAGCTTTCAACTCCCCGATGCCTCCATTTGAATGTCTGAATGTGAAGCCCCCAAAGGGGGATTTTCCTCTCCCCTCCCTGTCAGCCCGCAGTTTCCCTTCATGGACCCAGCAGGCAACATCTGCCTCTAGCAGCCCTTGCAGCTGTACCTTTTATGCGCTTATCGCTTGGCTGATACACCAGATGGACTTACGCAAACCCCTCCCAAGGCTTTTGTTCTGGCTGCCCCCGCAGCTGCCCATACTTTAAGTGCACAGCTGCGGGCACTGAGCATGTCCAGTATCTGCGCCAGCCCTGGCACTGAGATGTGTAATAGAAGATGAAAAGCTGACAGCCTGAGGGCTGACAGGAGCATATGTTGAGAACGCGCCCGAGCAGCACATCAGTAAAGTGCAGCCCAGGCTGCCTCGTGCAAAGGGCGCAACGTGCTCAGAACCGTGCCCTGAAGTGAGCGCGGTGTGCGTGCGGAGCGGAATGGGAAGCGGCGCCCCCTGGTGGGGAGCAGGGAGATGCCGCCGCCGAGGCATTCCTGGTGCGGATGGCTGCAGCTGGCACGCATCCAGCGCGAGCCTTCAGGCCCTGAGCTGCCAGGCGGGCAGAGGCTGAAATAGTGGCAGCCGAAAGTTCAGCTCTGCCCAGCAGGGTGAACTGCAATGAGGATACTGGGCTTTTTGGGCTTGGAGAAGAGAAGGGTGGTGGGAAACCTCTTTGTGACTGACCGGTACCTGAAAGAAAAGCATGAACTAGAGGGAACAACTGTTGAAGTGTGTGGACAGAGACTGAACTGGGGAAGGGTTATAAAGCGAGACAGGAGATTTAGATTAGATATTAGGAGGAAGGTTTGCACTCAGAGGGTGGTGACGCACTGGGAGAGGTTCCCCATAGAGGCTATGGATGCCCAATTGCTGGATGCATTTGAGGCCAGGCTGGATGTAGTTCAGGAGAGCCTGGTCTGGTGGATGGAGACCCTGCACGTAGCAGGGGCTTGAAACTGGATCGTCATTGTAGTTCTTTTCAACCCAGGCATTCTATGATTCTGTGATTACCTTCAGATCTCTTGATGTCAAGATGAGAGGGATATCTGTAGAGGTGTGACCTTGAGAGACATCCCTATTTGAGGGGAGATCCCGTTGTGCAGCCCATTGCTGTGCAGGAGAGCTTGAAGGGCATTTGGGCTGCTCCTTTAGGGGTAAGATATTTAGGGGTAAGATGACTGCCTCCTTGCTATGCATTGTCTTTAAGCACACAGTCCATGTACCCTCAGCTGTTGAACCGGGTGTCAGTTCTTTGTGCCACCCAGTTGGAGTCAGCTTTGTGATTTGTAATCAGCTTCAACCAGAGCATTGCCAGTGCTGTTGCTGCTTGTGTTCCTGTGCAAGGCCTGCTGTGCCATCCCCCAGGCAGTGCCCTGCAGATGGGCTGTGGAGGGCTGGGCTGGGACAGGGACTGCTGCGTTCCCTCACAGCTCCCCTGCCATTTCTCTTGTCCCTGCAGGCTCCAGTTCAACTTCTGCCTCCCAGCCGTGATCATTTCAGCTGCAGGAGAGCAGAAGATGGCCACAGCACATGCATCTCAGGTAGGGGCTGGGGGAAGCAGGCAGGAGAGGCCGAGGGGCGAGGGATGTGAATGCAAGGGGAGAGGGAGGTGGCCTCAGCCAGCGTGTGCGTGCTGGGGCCAGAGAAGCAGCTGGGATGGGAGTTTGTGTCCTGTGTGAGCTGCTTCCCTGGGCCTTGGCTGTTCCCAGCAAGGAGCCTCTTTGCTTGCAGGAGCCCGTGAGCTTTGCGGAGGTGGCCGTGTCTTTCAGCAGGGAGGAGTGGGCGCTGCTGGACCCTGCGCAGCGAGCGCTGTACCGGGACGTGATGCTGGAGACGTACCAGTGCGTGGCCTCGCTGGGTGAGGGCTTTGCTGCCTTTCCTCCTCGTTAGGGCGCCTTTGGCTGTGCAGAATGAGCCTCTGCAGGCCAGGCCTAGAATAATTGCCATGCAGTTACATATTAATAACTGCAACAGCAACAAAGGAAATACTGACAAGCATGACTTTCAGGTATGCTTTGTCTGCACAGCAGACTCATAAACGCCCCAGAGTCAGTGCTGGCAAGCAGGCATCAGCCAGGAGGGAGTAAACCAGCCCTTGTGTTGGTGCACAGCATGGTGTCACCAGCTCCAGCTAACAGATGACTGCCTGCGTGCTTCTTTACAATGTAGGATTTTGCATTCAGTTGCCATAGACATTTTGATGCCTTGGTCATTGATATATTGTCAGAAAATAAACAAACTGTTCACAAGTTAATTTTAAAGAAAATATCCCTTCACAATTTTCAGAGTTGTAAAAGCATTCTTTGCTCCAAAGGAAGCTGTGGTCCCAGTGTCATTCAGGCCCAAAGTATGGTTTCTCCTTGGGGAGGGGACACAGAGTGGAGCTGTTGAACAGGCACTGTGCCTGAATGATGGAAATGCTCTCATCTCCCCTGTTTCTCTCATTGAAGCTCCACTTTCAGCCTCCAAACCCGTGCTGATCTCCCTGCTTGAAGGAGGCGAAGAGCCCTGGATCCCAGATGTGCGTAGCCCTGAGGCCGTGCCAGGAGACCTCAGCCCAGGTGAGGTGGTGGAGGGAAGGAGGAGGTTGGGTCTGGAAGAGCCATCTCTGTCTGTGTTTTATTTTGGGCACTGTGTGCTATTTCTGGATTTCCTGTCATCCAGCAGGAACTGGGATTGTAGATATGCTGGAGGACCTGCAGGAAAGTGGTGTGGCCGAAAGGCGGTGGGGTGGTGTCTGTGTGGAAGAAATCAGAAGGGATGTCCAAGGAGGCCTGGAGCAAGGTCAGGGTGAGCAGATCATGGAGCCACTGGGAAAGGGTCTGGGAAAGACAGGGAGGAGCCCATTGGACTTCAACGTAGGTCAAAAGGAGCCTGAAGAACCCAGGAGCAAGGATGTGAGCCAGCAGAAAAATCACAATCCATGCACTCAGTGTGGGAAAACATAAAAATAGATTCCAGCATCGTTAACCACCAGTGCATACACTCAGCAATGAGTCCATACAAGCGCTCTGAGTGTGGGAAGAGCTACACAAGGAGTTGCCACCTTACCTTCCACCAACGCATCCACACAGGAGAGAGACCCTACAAGTGCTCTGAGTGTGGGAAGAGCTTCAAAAGCAGTTGTCAACTGAAGCAGCACCAATGCATCCACACAGAGGAGAGACCCTTTCAGTGTCCTGAGTGTGGGAGGAGATTCAAAAGCAGTTCTGAATTGAAACAGCACCAGCGCATCCATATGGGGGAGAGACCCTACAGGTGCTCTGAGTGTGAGAAGAGCTTCAAACGCAGATCTAATCTCAACATCCACAAGCACATCCACAGAGCACAGAGGCTGTAGAAGCATCCCAAGATACAGGGAACCTTCAAAAGCAGTTCCAGCCTTGTTACCTACCAGCAGAGCCACAAAAGATACAGAGCCTCCATAGATGTAAATGTGGGACGAGCTTCAGCCAGAGCCCCAGCCTGGTCAGCACCTGTGGCTTTGTGTGGTGATGAACCTTACAAATCACTTGAGGACAAGCTCTGCAGCCTAACTCCTCTTTCTCCTTCTTTGCATGGGAATTATGCATATTGCTCTCTTACAACTGCAGTTGCTGTGTTGAATGGCCATGCAAAGGAGAATCCAGAGTGGGATTGTTACACCTCTGCCAGGTGGCCCGTTTCTGACAGGGCTGTGTGCAAGGAGAGTCACCTCTGATCTCCCCTGTAGAAACCCATCTGCTGTGGGGCAGCAGGTGAGGACCCAAAGGAAACCTCAGCTAGGCCAATATGTCACCAGGAAGGAAGAAATCCTGTCTGCAGGCAGTGTGGGAAGAGCTTCATCTGGAGCTCAACTCTCAGTAGATGCCAGAGAACCAACCCAAGAGGAGAGTCCCAGTGAGTGCCGTGACTGCAGGAAGAGGTCTGTCCACAGCTGGGAGCTCATCACACACCGGTGGATCCACGTGAGGAACCCTACAGATGTGCAGCCTGCAAGAAGAGCTTTGGGCACAGCTCGAACCTGCTGAGGTACCAGAGTGTCTGCACTTGGGTGAAGTCCAATCCGTGCCTGCACCAGTGAGTTCATGTGGCAGGAAGCCTTAGAAATGCCTCAAGTGTGAGAAGGGCTTTGTGCAGAGCGCAGAGTTTCATGAGATGGCACTCGTGGAAGAAGTACTACAAATGTTCCATGTGTGGGAAGATTGTCAATTAAAGCTCCTACCTGATCAAGCACCCTGGGATCTACAGAATCACAGAATCACAGAATTGTAGGGGTTGGAAGGGACCTCCAGGGATCATCGAGTCCAACCCCCCTGCCAAAGCAGGTTCCCTACAACCAGGTCGCACAAGTAGGTGTCCAGGTGGGTCTTGAACATCTCCAGAGCAGGAGACTCCACCACCTCCCTGGGCAGCCTGTTCCCATGCTCCGTCACCTCACCTAAAGAAGGTCTTGTGTACATTTGTGCAGAACTTCCTATGCTGCAGTTTCTGGCCATTTCCCCTTGTCCTGTCTCCACACACTGCTGAAAAGAGTCCAGCCTCGCCATTCTGCCCCCCACACCTTAGATATTTATAGACCTGGATCAGGTCCCCTCTCAGTCTTCTTTTCTCAAGGCTGAACAGACCCAGTTCACTCAGCCTTTCCTCATAGCAGAGATGCTCCAGGCCCTTCACCATCTTTGTGGCCCTCCGCTGGACTCTTTCCAAGAGATCCCTGTCTGTTTTGTACTGGGGAGCCCAGAACTGGACGCAGTGCTCCAGGTGAGGTCTTACCAGGGCAGAGTAGAGGGGGAGGATCACCTCCCTCGACCTGCTGGCCACGCTCTTTTTAATGCACCCCAGGATGCCATTGGCCTTTTTCGCCACAAGGGCACACTGCTGGCTCATGGCAACCTGTCATCCACCAGGACACCCAGGTCCCTTTCCGCAGAGCTCCCCTGCAGCAGCTCATCCCCCAACCTGTACTGGTGCATGCAATTATTCCTCCCCAGATGCAAGACTCTACACTTGCTTTTGTTAAACCTCATCCGGTTTTTCTCTGCCCAGCTCTCCAGCCTGTCCAGGTCTTGCTGAATGACAGCACAGCCTTCAGGCTGTCAGCCAATCCTCCCAACTTCGTGTCATCAGCAAACTTGCTGAGGGTGGCCACTATCCCCTCATCAAGGTCATTGATGAAGATGTTGAACAAGACCGGACCCAGCACAGACCCCTGAGGAACACCGCTGGTTACAGGCCTCCAACCGGACTCTGCACCGCCAACGACAACCCTCTGCGCTCTGCCAGTCAGCCAGTTCTCAACCCACTTCACTGTCCACTCATCTATCCCACACTTCCTCAGCTTTGTTATAAGGATGTCGTGGGGGACAGTATCAAAGGCCTTGCTGAAATCAAGGTAGACTACATCCACTGCTCTCCCCCCATCCACCCACCCAGTGACAACATCATAGAAGGCTACCAGGTTGGTCAAACATGACTTCCCCCTGGTGAACCCATGCTGACTACTCCTGATAACATCATTTTCTTCCAGTTATCTGGAGATGGCATCCAGGACAAACTGTTCCATCACCTTTCCAGAGACAGAGGTGAGAGTGATTGGCCTGTAGCAGAGACCATAGGAATGCCTGCACTTCAGGAAGAGCTTCATCCAGAGCTCAATCCTCATTAAACATTGCCCATTCCAATGAGATGGTGGCCCTGCAAGTGTCTCTGGTGCAGGAAGAGTTTCTCTCAGGGCTGGCACCTCGTTTCTCCTGGGAAAAACACCAGCAGAGAGACCTTGGGGATGCTGGAAAGCCCAGGATGATGGAGACCCCAATGCTTTTTGGAGGGTTTGGTTTCGGTGCCAACACAGGAGGAGTTTGCAACGGAGATGGCATCACTGGCACCCTCTGCACAGGGCACTTAACCAGGGAGCTTCAGATGGCCTTTCCTTGCTACCCAACACAGTTCTCTCACCACGCCTCACTTCTGCTCTGCCTGCCAGCAGCTTTTTGATGCTGTTTCCTAAGGAGAAGCAGCTGTGCAGGGATGTTCTGTGTGTCTGTGTGCATGTGTTGCTCTCAGTAATTTGTGAGTGCACTGATGAATCTTAGAGGGGTCAGGAGAGCAGTAACGTGGCTCTTGGAGGTATTCTGAGAATCATCTGTAGAGGAACGAGAAGGGGGTGAATAAAGTAGCTGAGTTGTTCTGAAGCTTTCTTCACTGTGGTCTTGTTTTTTGTTCTGAAAATAAATGTCAGCATGTGGAATGAGGAGAGGGAAAGGTGCAAGCAGGGTTTGGTTTGGGTGCATCTTCCAGCCCACGGCTTGCTTTTGGAAAGGCATTTCTTTCACACAACACCATCATCCTTCCTAACCCAATGTGCTGCACATTGGTTCAATTGCTTTTCTCGAATGCTTTAATCAGGAACTCAGAGTAGCTGTGTGACATGAAGTCTTGGTTGTCTCCAGTATAGCTACAAAAAGCTGAGCTTGTTATTCCTAAACACATCGTCCAAAGTTTCAGGAGATGGCAGGAACAGAAAGCAATGCAAACCCGCAGGGTGCACCAGCAGCTCATCCCCACAGCACAGAGATATCAGAGTGCTCTCCAGGGCGTGCTTGCCTTGCAAGTGATCCCTTTAGAGCTTGAAAGTTTTTGCTTTGACCTTGGCAAGGTGTGTCTGAGACCTCCTGCAGCAGGGCCGTCACATTTGTTGCGCTCAGCTAAAGCTGCTGTGCTTGGAATGCGGTTGGCAGGAAGTGGAGGTTGATTTTGGTGAGCTAGTGAAGCCTGCAGGAGCTTGCCCATGTCCTCTAAAGGCTCCCTGACCCCTCAGCAAGCTGCAAGGAGATGATGATTGCAGTCCTGAGGAGCTCTGCTTCCTCCATCCCAGGAAGCAGAGGCCTGGTCTGGTGCTGGAGAGGTACAGCAGGGCCCTGGGGCTTGCAGGAACTCACAGCTCCAGGGGAAATGCATGGGGGAGGCGTGGGGGTCCCCAGCAGCAGGAGGCAGCAGCCCAGCCAACAGCCGGGATGATTTACATTTTAACTGCAACCAATTAATTCTTGTCCAGTGGCATCACTCATGTGTCTCCTCTTTCCTTTTAGATTCCCCCAAAAAACATTCTCACTCTTCTGTGTTTTCATTTTACATCACCATATTCTCAGAATTGTTGAGCAGGTTTTCTCTAAAAAGAAAATGAAAATGAAGGTTTTCTACATTTACTGCCATAAAAATCAGTTTAACTGCTGGAGCAGGAACATTTCAGATGGGGGTGTGAAGGAGGGGGGTGCCAGTCTAGGGCTGGACGTTCATACAGGTGGGCATGGAGGGAGGGATGGAGGGATGGAGGGATGGAGGGATGGAGGGATGGAGGGATGGAGGGAGAGCTTTCTCCCATCAGATTTAACCCACAGTTGCATACGCCCAGCAGAAGCCTGTGTCCTCTGTGTCCCATGTGACCTCTGCGTGGAGCTTACACTTGGCTGTGATGTGGTGAAGAGCCTCTGGGCACTGATTAAGGGACTGATAAAGCGGGAATCTAGCGTAAGCCAGCCAGCCAGGAGGATGATACCAATTAATTATTCTTGATGGAATTAAGGGATGTGTCTGGAACAGCATCACTTCCACTAGGCACTGTGGTCCGTCTGCACTGGAGCAGTGCACTGGTCACTTGTTAAGAGTCATCTCATAAGAGCACAGGTGCAGGCAATTTCAATGTGTTGCAAGACAAGAAGCGGGGCAGAAGTCCAGCTGCTCTGAGCAGAGATTTCTTCTAGAGTTCGTGTGGAAGGGAAGGTAAATGGACTCACGGAGTGAAACCTGGCTAAATGGGAGCAACTGACTATGAACCTTTGTGGAACGTGCTGCTCCGCTTGCAGCCAGGTAAATGTATGGCCTGTGGGGATTATCCAGGGGTCCTGGGAATCTCAACAGGTCCCAGTTGATTGGAAGCTGGCAAACATACCAGTTTCCAAGAAGAGCGGGAAAGAAGAGCTTGGTAATTAGTACCCTTTGAGGCAAGGCCTGATCTGTCAGCTTGTACCAAAAGGACTTCTAAGGTCCTTTTCCAGAAGTGCTCTTTCTGTTGTTCATTCAACACTGTCACTCCATGCACATGATGGCCGAGGTGATGTGAGAATCCTTCTCTGTTTTTTTGGCTCAAAGCTTGCTTCCTGAGGTATTTCTTGTGATAAGACTCTGAATGATTTGTTGAGGAGGCTACTAATAGGTGCTAACAGTGTGACAATGGATATCGCTTTGGGAACATTTGAAAGCCCCTTCCCCCAGAGCTGCTTGCTCTGTAGAAGAGCGGATGAGAATGCTCAGGAGTGTTTACTGGCAGAAGATCTGGCCTGTGACTAAACAGCTCCAGCTAGGTGTGGGAAAATTGGGGAACGATACCATCGTGTTCTGTGAGAAACAGGATGCAGATGGGCACCCCTGCTCCCTCTTATCTGCTGGCAAGGCCCGGAAGATGGGAACAAAGGAGTTTCTGCTGAGATCCCAGAGCCAGAAGCTGCCACTCCAAGGAGAGCTGACTCCACCACTTTGGATTTGAGCTGTCACTCCAAAGACACCTGACTTCACCACTTTGAAACCATTGAAAAGGGGCCATCATCACCGTTGTGTTTCGTCGTCGTTGGCAACAGACAACAATGCCTGACGACCCACTGCTATTGAGGACCAAAGACTGAACTACGAACCTCGCTGGATCCATGGTGGTGACTATCTCCCTCTTGCTTCCTATAAAGACTCCTTGCTTCTTCTTTCCCATCTTTCCTATTGCCCTCCTTCCCTTCCCCATCACCCTAATTCGTAATAGTGTCCGTCCTCCCCTTCCCCATCTCCCTAATTAACATTTGTAATAAACTGGTCGGACCAACATTTGAACCGTTGCTTCTTAATCTCACGCCAGGTATATACATAATAAAAGAACCTCCTCTCCCTCCTATAAATTGGAGCGAGACAGGTGACCACATTCACAACCCTTCCAGTTAGACGAAGGCGAACCAACACTCAAGATTCACACACAGGTGGAAAACAACATCAACTTTATTAGCAGATTTCTACAAAACATTTATCCTACCTTTCCACCCTCTCACACTTCTATCTGTCTAAGCTGTATTGTTTACAGGAACTTCAAGTATGCCTTGAGGTAGTAAAAACAATAAGAGGAGAAAAAAAATAATGAAAAGGAAGAAGAGAAATTAGAAGGGCTAGGCAGATCATCAATCCTGGATCCAGCACCAAGCGTGGAGTGACGACATTGGTGGACGAAGGGAAGGCGACCGATGTCATTTACCCGGACCTGAGCAAGGCCTTTGACATGGTCCCCCACCACATCCTCATCTCCAAATTGGAGGGAAGTGGATTTGATGGGTGGACGACCCGATGGATAAGCAATTGGTTGAAAGGCCGCAGACAGAGGGTGGTCAATGGCTCTATGTCCAGGTGGAGGCCGGTAACAAGTGGTGTCCCCCAAGGGTCTGTCTTGGGACCGGTGCTCTTTAACATCTTTGTTAATGACATCGATGAGGGAATTGCGTGCACCCTCAGCAAGTTTGCTGACGACACCAAGCTGAGTGGTGCGGTTGATACGGTGGAAGGAAGGGGTGCCATTCAGAGGGACCTCGACAGGCTGGAAAGCTGGGCTCGGGTGAACCTAATGAGGTTCAACACGGCAAAGTGCAAGGTTTTGCATTTGGGCCGGAAGAACCCCAGGCACCCGTACAGGCTGGGAGGAGTGGGCCTTGAGAGCAGCTCGGCAGAGAAGGACCTGGGGGTCCTGATGGACGAGAGACTGAACATGAGCCAGCAGTGCGCTCTGGCAGCTCGAAAGGCAAATGGGATCCTGGGCTCCATCAGGAGAGGGGTGGTCAGCAGGGAGAGGGAGGTGATTGTCCCTCTCTACTTGGCTCTTGTGAGGCCTCTTCTGGAGTCCTGTGTCCAGGTGTGGAGCCCTCAGTACAAGAAAGACAGAGAGATCTTGGAAAGGGTCCAGAGGAGGGCGACTAAGATGATCAGGGGGCTGGAGCACCTCCCCTATGAGGACAGGCTGAGGGAGTTGGGCTTGTTCAGCCTGGAGAAGAGAAGGCTGCGGGGTGACCTCAGTGCAGCCTATCAATACCTGAAGGGAACCTACACCCAGGAGGGGAGTAAACTCTTCCAAAGGGCTGACAACAGCAGGACGAGGGGAAATGGATCCAAGTTGAAGGAGGGAAGATTGAGGTTGGATGTTAGGGGGAAGTTCTTTACAAGGAGAGTGGTTAGGCCCTGGAACGGGCTTCCCAGGGAGGTTGTGGATGCCCTGTCCTTGGACGTGTTCAAGGCCAGGTTGGACGGGGTCCTGGGCAACCTGATCTGAATGTGTGTGTTCGGTGGCCCTGCTAGGCAGGGGGGTTGGAACTACATGATCCTTGAGGTCCCTTCCAACCCGGGTGATTCTGTGATTCTGTGTGTGATTCTGTGCTGACGGAGATGCTCCACATGGTAAAGAATGGAAGCAGCAGCATCTAGAAGCAGGGCCAGCAGCAGAGGTAGGGCAAACCTGACCTCCCCCCCAGCACCTAGTTATAATACCAAAGGAAAAAGACAGATCCCATCTGCCCCTATTTGGAATTGGAGCTGCCTCCGGTCCTAGACACTGGACTACATCAAAACTAAGGAAGTCACACCAGGCCCCCTCCTGAAACTCAACCATTTCAGGACTGTTGTTCTGAACTCTTCCAAGAGTGGCTGACACATCAGTCCAATTAAGGGAAGGGACACCTGGCCCTTCCCTGCTACTTAATTGTCTCTCAGGGCATTGTTCCGGCTCACGCTAACAGACTCTTAACATCTCACCCCAAACACCACTCCATGGCTCAAACATTCTGCGGTCTCCTTCAATAATGGTGATCTGTACAGAGCGGTTAGCAGGTGAAGAGGAAGAGAGGTGAGAAGGCCTACCATTACAAACAAAAAACCCACACCACATTGTAAGATTGATCTTCACAAGCCATTTCCCCCACCCCCTGCATCCCAGTGATTTCAGCAGTGATGTGATCCATGGCCATGGATCAGTCCATCAAAGCAGTCTTTTGGCTGCATTGCCTGAAAAAGCTCTCCAGTCCTTCTGGTGATTTCCTTCGTGTCTTGATGGGCCTCACTTATGCCAGTGGTGGCACGGCAGATGGTGACACAGCATTCTCCTTCAGTTCAAGTTCAACAGCCCTCGCACCCTGTGTTCTTTTGACAGCAATATGTCTAGCACCAGTTGGTTTTGCAAGGCCACCTTGGATACTTGCTGAACAAGTACAAGAACTGCTCTGCCTCCTCCAACCAGCAAAAAGGAAACACAAGCGTTCTTAGCTGCTGTGGATTTCCAAAGAATGCATCTTCTGGATTACAGTCTGACTGCAAACCCTCTCTATCTTGGGACCTGGAAGAAGAACGATTTCACGCAGGGTCCTGAGCAGCAGCAGACTTTGAACAAATTAAACAGGCAATAGCTCATGCAGTAGCCCTTGGGCCAGTGCAGACAGGACAAGATGTAAGAAATTCACTCCACACAGCAGCTGGGGAGAATGGCTCCACTTGGAGCCTCTGGCAGAAACCAGAGCAGTTCCCAGCATGTCAGTTGTTATACAGTTCATATATATATGCACACTGTCATGACATTTATCCTTTATCTAAGTGAAAACTTCATCTAAACCTGTAAGTTCTACTTCATGGGTTTTTCTTTTGTTCTCTCCTCCATCACAGAGGGAAAGAGAAGAGTGAGAAAATGACTGCTGAGCGGCCTGCTGGTTTAAACCTTCTACCTTCTGTTCTTAAACACGTCTACTTTCTGTTTCCTCTGTGCACATGCTTATGGGATTTGAGATTTGAACTGCTTCTAAAGCCCTTCCCACACTCAGAGCACTTGAAGGGTCTCTCCTCTGTGTGGATGCGCTGGTGGAGAATGACATGGGAAGTCTTTTTGAAGCTCTTGCCACATTCAGGGCACTTGTATGGTCTCTCTCCTGTGTGGACGTGCTGGTGTTGGATGAGGTGGGAACTGCTTTTGAAGCTCTTCAAACACTCTGAACACTTAAAGGGTTTCTCTCCAGTGTGGATGCGCTGGTGTACTGTGAGGTTTGAACTGTGTTTGAAGCTCTTCCCACACTCAGAGCACCTAAAGGGTCTCTCTCCTGTGTGGATGCGCTGGTGGTGGATGAGGTGGGAACTTCTTTTGAAGCTCTTCCCACACTCAGAGCACCTAAAGGGTCTCTCTCCTGTGTGAATGCGCTGGTGAAGAATGAGGTCAGAACTGATTCTGAAACTCTTTCCACACTCAAGACACTTATAGGGTCTCTCTTCCATGTGGATGCTCTTGTGGCGCGTAAGGTTGGCTCTCCATTTGAAGCTCTTTCCACAATCAGAGCACTTATACAGTTGTTTTTCTGAGTTTACACACTGGTGGTTAACAAACTCAGAACAACTTTTAAAGCTTTTCACAGATTCAGTGCAATACTTCTGCTTTTTCTTCTGGCACACTTGCTTACACTTGGGGTCTTCAGGCTCCTTCTGACTTGTGCTGAAGCTGAGATGGTTCCTTGCTCTCCTTCCAGAATGCTTTCCCAGTGGCTTCTTGAAGTGATCTCCTTGCTCCAGGCCACTCTGGGCATGCTTTCTTGCTTTCCTTACAGATGCACTACTATACTGCCTTTCGGCAACGCTAGTTTTGGGCAGATCCTCCTTAAAATCTGTGATCACAGCTCCTGATGGATTGCATAAGAAACCAAGAATTAGCACATGAACCCAAAAATGGCCTATTCACACAAGGCGTTTACAGCCTCAGCCTCCTCCTTCCGTCCACCACCTCACCTGGGCTGAGGTCTGTTGGCACAGTCTCAGGGCTACGCACATCCGGGATCCAGGGATCATCCCCTCCTTCACACAGGGAGATCAGCAGGCATTTGGGGACTGGATGTGGAGCTTCAAAGACAGAAACATTGGAACATAAGAGTGTTAACTTGATTCTGGTACAGCTGCTTCTCCAGCAACTCGACTATCTGTCCCTCCAAAACTGAAGCCACAATCAGGGCCTGAATGACTCAGGGCAACCACATAGACATTAGAATGTATTTGTTGAATTTTTCCAAACTGCTCTATGCCCAAGGCTTCAAAAATGTTTATGGGAATGGAATAGAGAGCCAATAAATGCTAAAGTAATAACTTGAGAGTGGTCTGGCTGCTGCTGCTGGTAGCACCCTGCAATGAAGGAAGCAGCTGATGCCTGCTTCCCAGTACTAACTCAGGGGCTTTTATCAGAGTGCTGAGCACAATAAGACCCCATAAAACTCATGCTCCTCTGTGTTTCTTTTGTTACTGTCATTGTGGTGATGGTCAAGAAATAAGTGCATGATAATTATTCTAGGCTCGGCCTGCAGAGGCTCATTCTGCACAGCCAAAGGCGCCCTAACGAGGAGGAAAGGCAGCAAAGCCCTCACCCAGCGAGGCCACGCACTGGTACGTCTCCAGCATCACGTCCCGGTACAGCGCTCGCTGCGCAGGGTCCAGCAGCGCCCACTCCTCCCTGCTGAAAGACACGGCCACCTCCGCAAAGCTCACGGGCTCCTGCAAGCAAAGAGGCTCCTTGCTGGGAACAGCCAAGGCCCAGGGAAGCAGCTCACACAGGACACAAACTCCCGTCCCAGCCGCTTCTCTGGCCCCAGCACGCACACACTGGCTGAGGCCACCTCCCTCTCCCCCTGCATTCACATCCTTCGCCCCTCGGCCTCTCCTGCCTGCTTCCCCCAGCCCCTACCTGAGATGGATGTGCTGTGGCCATCTGCTGCTCTCCTGCAGCCGAGATGATCATGGCTGGAAAGCAGAATTGAACTGGAGCCTGCAGGGACAAGAGAAATGGCAGGGGAGCTGTGAGGGAACGCAGCAGTCCCTGTACCAGCCCAGCCCTCCACAGCTCATCTGCAGGGCACTGCCTGGGGGATGGCACAGCAGGCCTTGCACAGGAACACAAGCAGCAACAGCACTGGTAACACTCTGGCTAAAAGAGCTGAATCACCACAAAGCTGTCTCAAACTGGGGGGCGGAAAGAACTGATAACTGACACTCAGCTTAACAGCTGAGGGCACTTGCATTGTGTGCCTAAAAACAGAGCACAGCAAAGATTCAGTCACTACCCCAACACAGACAACAGCCCAAGTGTCCCTCAAGCTGTCTTGCACAGCAGCATCCTGCATGACAGGATCTCCCCTTGAGTAGGGATTACCTGCACAGAGATGCCTTGCACCTTGACATCAAGACTCCTTCTCAATACAGATCTTCCGTAAGAGACTCGTGGTTACTTTGGAGCTTCTCTAAGGCTATATCTTTAACTGATTATGTATATATGATCACTTTGACATTATTCCCTGATCAAGCTTGCAATTAGAAGTGGATCAAGCTGCAGTTATGCTTCTTACCTTTGTGGTTTTAGAGGTTTAGAAAGGATGGGGGAGTACTGTGAGACACTTGTTGAGCCAGTGTCAATCCAACTCAGTTCTGGGAACCGGAGCGTGCAGTTCAGGCAGCAGTGTTAAGATTACCCACAGAAAGGGAACCAAATGTTGTGTGTCAAACTGCAAAGCCAGAGTCTGGCTCCCAGATGAGAAATGTACGTCAAACATTCACTCTGCAATTATAAACTGTCATGAGACATTGTTCTTAACCTCCAAAAAAATAGGGAGGCTGCTGTGTGTGCACTTCATGCAGCTGCTAACCTCCATGAATCAAAAACCACCAACATTCCCCAATACTCTTTTTCTGCTGCGGCATGGGGTGGAAATTCTGATATTACAGCATATTTGAACAAAATAAAAGACCTCTCATTCTCACTCATAATCCTTTAACCACATATACGGAGCTTTTACAGTTTACCTCCTCTGGCAAATGTAAAAGGAGAACTGGCTTCAATGGACTAAGAATAGGTTGAGGTACTGAATGAGTTCTTTGCCTCAGTCTCCACTGGCAGCCAGGATTCTAATACTCACGTCCCTGATCCTTGGATCCCTAAACCTCCAGGTGGGTGTCAGAGCAGTAAATCAGGTCAGGCTGTCACTGGTGGCCTTCTATGATGAAGTGATGGCACTGGTGGACAAAGGGAAGGCAACCAATATCATTTACCTGGACTTGAGCAAGGCCTTTGACATGGTCCCCTACCACATCCTTATCTCCAAATTGGAGGGACTTGGATTTGATGGGTGGACCACTCCATGGATAAGGAACTGGTGGGAAAGCCACAGACAGAAAGTGGTGATTAATGGTGCTATGTCTCGGTGGAGGCTGATAATGAGTGGTTTCCCCCGGGGGTCTGTTTTGGAACTGGTGCTCTTTTAACACCTTTATCAATGACATCAACGATGGAATGGAGTGCACCCTCAGCAAGTTTGCTGCTGACACCCAGCTGAGTGGTGCTGTTGACACGGTGGAAAAAAAAGATGCTGTTCAGAGGGACCTCAACAGGCTTGAAAGACGGGCCCAGGTGAATCTAATGAGGTTCAACACAGCAAAGTGCAAGGTTTGACACCTGGTCTGGAGGAACTGCAGGCGTCTATACAGTTTGGTAGGAGTAGTCCCTGAGAGCAGCCCTGCAGAGAGGACCTTGTGGTACTGATGGATGAAAAGCTTCACATGAGCCAGCAGTGTGCTCTTGTAGTTCGGAAAGCAAATGGTATCCTGGGCTCCATCAGAAGAGGGGCGGCCAGCAGGGACAGGGAGGTGTCCCTCTCTATTCTGCCCTTGTGAGACCCCATCTGAAGCACTGTTGATTGTTTGTGGGGAGGGGGTTCAATTCTACCCCTTGCTTAAGACTCACAGAAGCGCTTTTGCAAAATGCAGCAAGAAAAATAAGTTCTTATCTGCATAGTTAGCAGAAAAAGGAACAAACACGAGGAAGTATTGGGACATAGTCAGCAAGAATCGGTTTTATTGTGCAAACTGGGCCAGAGGTGAAGAACCAGAGTGTGGAAGACAACTAACTTCATCCCCGAACACCACCAGCAGGGACCCTCACTGCACAGGATGCACGCGCCAGGGGGAGGGAGTTTATGGAAATGAATTCCTGGAAAAATTATGAATATGTAGATGAATTCCAGGAAGTTTATTGAACATGTATGAGCTTGGCTTACAAATATGTAACGCTTCTGCTGCCTGGTATGCAAGGTAGGCAGAAAGCTTCCCTCCTGCATCCAGCATGTGAACCACTGAACTAAACGTACCTGCTCTTATAACTACTTTGTGGTTATAGAGTCTGATTCTGCAAGTCACTGTGACGTGTGGAATCAAACTGTATAACACAAAGTGTTATAAAGCATGTATGGTTTATTCAGTGCGGGGCAGACACCGGGTGCAAGGGGGATAGATCTGCCTAACTTGCACACAGTCTAGAAAAATCGTGCTACAGATATAGGATGAACTAATACATAATCAATAGTTTTCCCGGAATCCAGAGGGTCACGGGATGAAGATCTGTCATCTTCCTCGCGAAGGCTTCTGACCATTTTCACTGTAAACTTCTGACCTTTCGGGGAACATCCCCCCAGACCGGTTTCTTCTTGCCCATCCAATCACCTCCCTGCCAAATGTCCTCCGGCTGTTCTCAAACCCTTACCTTTACAGCCTTCATCCCCCTCACTATCTCAGTCACAGTGTCTGCCATTCCTTATTTTCTAACAAGCTCTACATTCTTGCTTCTATAAACTATCTCTAACTATTCCCCTCCACTCTCCTTATTCTCAGTCACTGTGAAGTCTTCTTGCCTTATTACTTTCACTTATGGGGCCCGCCTTACCTTTCAACTGTGCGCAGGTCTGGAGTCACCAGTCCAAGAAAGACAGCTGTTGGAGAGGGTCCAGAGGAGAGACACAAAGATGATCAGGGGGCTGGAGCACGTCCATAACAAAGACAGGCTGAGGGAATTGGGCTTGTTCAGCCTGGGGAAAAGACGGCTGAGGGGTGACCTCACTGCAGCCTTTCAGTACCTAACCCGCTCAGCCTCACCTGCTCTGCGGGGAAGAGTGGGCCGCTCCGCCTGCGTCCAGAGCTGCCCGCAAGGCTGAGCGCGGAGCCCAGCGAAGGCCGACTCCCGTCCCGCCGGAACGCAGCCGTCCGCGGCCGTGAGGGAAGAGGAGTTCCGGGCTCACTCGGGCTGCAACGACTGCCTGGGCCGGGCCGCTGGGCGGAGCCGCCGCCGTGACGGCGCGGGGCAGGGGGCGGCCGCAGGACGGGCTGGGCTGGGCTGCGTGCCGCGCTGTGCGGGCGCTGCTGCCGTCTGGGTCAGCGAGCCCGAGGGTGGCAGCAGGAGGCTTTCTGTCGTGAAGGCAGGATTCCCTTTGCAGACTTATATATCGGTTCTTAAACGAACGTACGAATCGCTGTTGGCGACCCGTATCACATACGGCAGTTAGTATAGTATGGCAATTTGGTGCCTGTGGCAATTTGGAATGTATTGCACTGGGTACGTAGGGTCAGCCCCAAGCACATTGCCCGGTGCAATTCAAGGGTAGGTACGGCCAGTCATACGGACCACAACTCCACACAGAACCCCATGGTATCACGGCACAGAAGACTTATTAGGACTTTTATTCAAGGATTTAGGGACATTCGTATTCCTACAGCAGCTTATGGGTAGAGCTCCTACGCACAGCTCCATCTGTTCAACACAATAAGGCGCCTGGTGTTGTACCGGAGATTGCCTCTTCCTGAGACATATTCGTGTTTGAGAGGAGTTAAAGGAACGGCAGGACAGCAGCGTGGGGACGTGTGACCACAAGGATGTGCGGATGTCCCAAGCAAAGGAAGCAAAGAAACCCAGCAGAAAGCGACGCATCATTAGCGTAACAAAACACAGCCTCCATCCTCCCTCCCTGCCCCCATCCTCCCTCCCCCGGGTGCAGATGTGCCATGAGAACGAGCTGTGAAACTGCCCAAGGCCCGGCAGCCGGCTCGGGCCGTGCTCGCTGTGGGAATTGCTGCCTGCACCTGAGGCTGTGCCGAAGCGGCCAGAGCCTGGCCGGAAGCCGTCCGGGCAGCACGGCGGTGGCAGGAGGAGCAGCGAGGCCGTGCTGCGGCCAGCTCCGGGCTGAGGGCACTCGGCAGCCTCTGCTCTCCGCGACTCCCAGGAGCCCGGTTGCCCTCAGAGAGGCGGGAGCAGCGTGCTCCGCACCCAAGGTAGGAGCCCTTCGCGGCTCGTGCAGAGGAGCGCACGCTTCCTGCCCCCTGCCCGATCCCGGCTCCAGCTCCCGCCCAGCACAGCGGGTTTGCTGGGCCAGAACGGCCGCAGCGACGGGAGCAGCGGCTCCCAGGCCTGTTGCAGCCCGGGTTGTATATCGAGGGGCACAGGAAGGGGTTGGAGCTGGGACAGCGAGGAAGTGAGCAGAGGAGCTCAGCGTGCTCTGCTGCCCGGTCGGCTCTCTGTAACACAGCCCAGCTGGGACTGCGCTTCTCCCTCTGGGCCACGAGAGACACGAGATGACCTCGCTCTGCAGCTCTGCACGCATGGATTGATGTAAGCTTTCAACTCCCCGATGCTTCCTTTTGAGTGTCTGAACGTGAAGCCTCCAAGGGCGGAATTTCCGCTCCTCTCCGTGCCCCGTCAGCCCGCAGTTTCCCTTCGTGGACCCAGCAGGCAACATCTGCGTCTAGCGGCTCTTGCAGCGTTACGTTTTGTGCGCTTAGTGCTGGGCTGATGGCCTACGGTGAGGATTCCTGTCCTCCTGGTGGGGGAGCAGGGAGATGCAGCCGCCGAGGCATTCTTGGTGCGGATGGCTGCAGCTGGCACGCATCCAGCGCGAGCCTTCAGGCCCTGAGCTGCCAGGCGGGCAGAGGCTGAAATACTGGCAGCAGAAAGTTCAGCTCTGCCCAGCAGGGAGAAGAGCTGCAAGGCGAGGGGAGGAACTTTTGCAAGGTGTTTCTGCCTCTGTCTGGCTGGCAGCTGGGGTTGGCAACAGCTATGCTGTGTATTTCAGTTCTAAGAGAGAAGGAGGAATGTATTTATTGATATAATGTTGTTATCATGTAGTGATCAAATAGTGCCTTTACAAGCCTGTTGTAAGCTCGTGGTTGTTTATTGCACAGAGGGCAGGGTTAAACACACACATAAAGGAGGCCCTCCCGCTGAGTCCCAAGGCTCAGAACATGCTCAGTTTTGCCCCCGCTGTTGAAGCAGGGCTCTGCTATCAGTTCTTTCAGTCCCCATTTTGAGACAGATCTATGGTGGTTAATCTATTTTAGCCAGAGCGTTACCTGTTGTGTTGTGCATTGCCTTCCTGTGCAGGGCGTTGTGAGCAAGGCCAGGCTGAAGAAGGGAGCTGAGGGAAGAAGCTGGAGGTGGGGGGATGAGGGAGGAGGGGTGAGCAGGATGTGTCTCTCCTCATCCACCCTACAGTCACTCATGTTTGCATCAGTCATGGCAGGTGGGAAAGGCAGTTACACTGGTACAATCCCAGTGACATTCACTTCCATTTGTATATTATGTGTGCTTCATTTCTGTGCATGACCATGGATGAGAGATCTGAGTTTTTGTTGTTAGAATTTGTGGAGAGTGGTGCCTCACTGGAGGCATTAGAACAGGCAGTAGACTCATTAGCTGCTCACTTAGAAGAAAAACTGGGCTGTGAACCCACAAAAGTGCAAGGACCAGGTTTGTCGGTAAAATTCCTGGATTTAATTTGGTCAGTGCGATAACAGACGATGTTCAGGTTTTCCCAGGTCCCTACCAGGCCATGGCAGCTGCAGGAATTTGGGGGTATATTGAGATACTGTTGTTCCTTTATACCCCACCTAGCGCAGCTGCTGCGGCCTTTGTGTCTGCTCACAAAGAAAGGCCAAGCATGGGACTGGAGGTGAAGGGAAGAACAGGCATTCCAGCAAGCAAAACCAGCTGCTAAACAGGCCCAGGCACTGGTTATATTTGGTCCCACTCTTCCAGCTGAACCAGATGCATGCAACTCAAGATGGGTTTGGCTAGCGTCTATGGCAGTGCCAAAATTCCGCTTGAATCCAAGTTGGGTTCTGGTCTGAAGCTTGGCACAGAGCAGAAGAAAGGTACAGTGTGATTGAAAAACAGTTATTGGCTGCTTATTCTGCATGACAGGTGGTAGAGCCAATAACTCAAACATCTCGAGTTATAGTTAAGAGCACCCTGCCTTTCTGTCATTACAAGCATCATGTGCTGGCCACGTGTGTATAGCGTTCAAGTGGAAAGAACCCTGCAGATAGAAGCATTGGGGGAGAGAGAAGTGTCCTTTGAAGCGTTTGACTCCCTGCTGGCAGTGCCTATCGCATCCAACACCAGCATGGTCCTTCTCCTTTTCAGCGGTTTGGCCTCTCTCAGCAGTTGGTAAGTAATAATGCACTAGCTTAGGGAGTTTCTGCTTGTCGCTTACTGGGGTTATCTGCAATGGATGCCTGCATGTGTGTGAGGGTGTGTATGCTGAATCGAAGCCGCGCAGATCACACAGAATGGCCTGGGTTGGAAGGAACCTCAAGGATCATGAATCTCCCAACTCCCTGCACAACCTTCCCATTTGATACTAAACCAGGCTGCCCAGGGCCCCATCCAACCTGGCCTTGAACACCTCCAGGGACGGACAGGGCATCTACAGCCTCTTCGGGCAGCAGTTGCAGCACCTCACCACTCTCATTGTAAAGAACTGGGCTGTGACCGGCCCAGCAGCCCCCCACCTTCCAAGGCACAATCTTTCAGGGGATGGGAATGGCCCTCTCAGGTATCCCCACTGCTCTCCTCCTTCTCTGCCATCCTTTAGGGGACGGCATTGGCCCTCCCAGGGTGTTGGCTTGGGGGAATTATCCAACAGTCCAACACCTGCTGCTGGGGAAGTGTGAGTGGTCCAGCATTGGCCCCCTGGGTACCATCCTCCTACTCCCCTCCACCATCCTTCAAGAGGTGGGAGCGGCCTCCCCAGGGTGTCAGTTTGGAGGCTTCATCAGACACTTGGAAAACCACTGCCAGTGGGAAACAGACCTGGTCCAGCAGCCCCAGCACCCCCCAGCACTGCATCTGCCCTCCCCCCCACCTCTACCATCTATCAGGAGGTGGGAGCACCCCCAGCATGTGGGTTTACAGACACCATCTGACATCCACAGAACCACTGTTGTCATGTACCAGAGTTTTCCAGGCTCCTCGGTACCAATAAATAGAAAATAACACCACGGCTGCCCACATACTGTTGTCATGTCATTACCTGACCCACTACCAGACCTTGTGTGCCACTTTGGCAGACACTTGGCTTTGGCAGACAGCGATAACACAAGAGGGAATGACTTCAAACTCAAAGAGTGGAAATTGAGGTAGATGTGTAGAGAAAATTCCTCCCCCAGCGGTGGCAAAGCCCTGGACCAGGGTGCCCAGAGGCTGTGGGTGTCCTACGTCCTGTCTCAGGCAGGGGACAAGGGTGGGAGTACATTATGCAAAAGCATCAGTGCTTCTGCGCAAGGTTTGCCAGACAGCAGGCAATCATTTGCTCTGCAATAAGAACCAAGCAAGAACTGTTAGCACATTTTCTCCCTCCTCTACTTCATTTCGCTCTGTGGGCTGGATCGAAAATCTGAAAGTGGAGAGAGACAGTGCTGCAGATTTCGTGTGCCTGCTGCCACTGCTCACTCTATGATTGCAGTCGCCTTATCAGAGGCGCAGTCCATCGTGCTACCAGAAGCAGAGCTCGGCTGCCATGATAGCACCCTGCAGCTCCTCTCTAGCACCTGCTTTGGGTCACTGATTTCTCAGGATCCTCCAGGGAGTGCAACATTCCCCCGTTTCCTCTCAGCTCTCAGCACTGCTGCACTCCTCAGGAGCTGTGGCCACAACCAAAGCAGCCGTCAGTCAGCTGGAAAAGCATCCCAGCACTCTGCGAGAGGACAGAGTGCGCCTGTTCTGACAGCTTCCCTCAGCAGCCCTGCACTGAAATGCTTTGTGGGGTTCCTTCCAGCAAGTTGCTGAGGACAGAGGCAGTCACATCAGCTGCCTACACATTAACTGGGAGAGAGGGCTCTATCTTTCACATCCTTGTTACACCTCCTTAATTGAGTGCAACTTTTCTAAAAAAAATTCACTCACTACAAATGGTAGTGAGTCACAAAAATTCTCAGCACTACAAATGGTAAAATTCATAACATGTATATATATATGGCGTATACACATTTCATAGG